TAGGGTTTATAGGGTTTATAGGTTTATAGGGTTTATAGGGTTTATAGGGTTTATAGGGTTTATAGGGTTTATAGGGTTTATAGGGTTTATAGGGTTTATAGGGTTTATAGGGTTTATAGGGTTTATAGGGTTTATAGGGTTTATAGGGTTTATAGGGTTTATAGGGTTTGTAGGGCTTTTAGGGTTTAGGGTTTAGGCGTCCTGAACAGGGTAAGAAAGGGTAGCGATTGGAACCCTAACCGGAAACCCCAAGACCCAAAAACCGCCAATCCCTGAACCTCCGATTCGTGTATTATATTGCTAGATTAGTATATGGGGGGTTTCCGAGAATGGGTGTACCCTTTCTTGGGGTTCTTAGAGTAAGGATTCTACTATATTTGGGGGCACATTAACAGCTTTAAAGGGTATCCCATGCTAATTTCGAGGGAAAACCAGATTAGCACGGGTACACGTCGCCGCCGCCGATCTTGATGGGAGGGAGGCCCTCCTGGCAGAGGTCTGCTGGGCTTACCTGGGACCCTCTTTACCTACAGTCTTCTGGGTTATACCTACTGATCAAGTTAGTTAGTACTAAACTGTAGGTTAAAAAGGTCCTGGGTAGGGTTTATGGGCCATGAGGTTTGGGAGTGTACGGATAGCTTCCCTTATACCTCCCAGAAGAGCCCCCCAAAAGCCAAACCCTCAACCTTAAGCCCTAAACCTCAAGCGATTCAGGGGTCGGCTCTCTGAGATCCTTCGCCCGGAAGTAGTTGTTGTCTCGGAGGCTGTAGCTGCAGCCGCAATACTCCTGTTTGTAGAAGTGGTGCTTGGCGTTGACCTGTGCAGGCTTCGAACGTTGACATACCTTGCTGTTTCTGCGTTACATTGTGACATATGTATGTATGTATGTATGTATGTATGAATGTATGTATGTATACATATATATATATATATATATATGGATGTATGCATGTATGTATGTATATTTATTTGTTTATTTATCTATTTTTCTTTATTTACGTATTTATTTATTTATACTTATATCAATATTTATACTTATATTTCTATTCATGTTTGTATTTACATTTACATATTACATACATCTAGCTGGCTTTTTGTTTCAGGGGGGGAGGGGTGCAAGCACTGTAGGCAACCCAGAGACGCAGATTCAAGCCTCACCACTGCTCAACCCCCCGAAGCCCTCCAAGAATCCCAGCGTTTGTAGCAAGAACCGCAAACGCCAAACCCTAAGCCTTAAACCCTAAACCCTAAACCCTAAACCCTAAACCCTCCCCGCGCCTCATACTTCCGTTCATTCATCACCTCTGTCTGCCAGTCGTAGACCCAGTAGGTCACCCCGGGATAGTTGAAGGCGGCCTTAACACCCGAGGCGTTCACCTGATTGGCATCCTTCCACCTCGGGAGGAGCTTCTTCTAGGAAGTTTCGGGTTAGGGTTTAAGGTTTTTGGGGTTTTGGGGTTGTGGGGTTTAGGGTTTAGGGTAAAGTTTAGGGTTTAGGGTTTGGGAAGGTATATTCGAGTCCTCTAGGGATTGGAAGAATCATCCAGTGCTAGAAGGGAACGATGTTGGTAAGCTACCTTGGCTCCTGCGTGAGGGATTTGGGGTCTTAGGGCTGAGTGGGACAGGGCTTCCAGAGGGTTCAGGGTTTAGGGTTTAGGGTTTAGGGTTTAGGGTTTAGGGTCTAGGGTTTAGGGTTTAGGGTGGTTGAAGAGGTTTAGGGGTTTGGGGCTTTCTTAAGAGTTCTGTAGAATGGTAAACCCTAAACCCTGAACCCTAAACCCTAAACCCTAAACCCTAAACCCTAAACCCTAAACCCTGAACCCTAAACCCTAAACCCCAAACCCCAAACCCTAAACCCTAAACCCTAAACCCACCTGCTCGTCGCATTGGTCGTGGTAAACCACTGGAAGCCATGCTCGTGGGCATGCAAGGCAGTTCGCTCCAGGCGCATGTCGAAGCCTGGGTTTGGGGTTTAGGGTTTAGGGTTTAGGGTTTGGGGTTAGGGTTTGGGGTTTAGGGTTTAGGGTTTAGGGTTTGGGGTTTGGGGTTTAGGGTTTGGGGTTTGGGGCTTAGGGTTTAGGGTTTGGGGCTTGGGGCTTGGGGTCTAGGGTTTAGGGTTTAGGGTTTGGGGTTTAGGGTTTAGGGTTTAGGGTTTGGGGTTTAGGGTTTAGGGTTGAGGGTTGAGGGTTTAGGGTTTAGGGTTTAGGGGATCCCCAAACTCCTCTAGTGCACTGATTTGGAGCAGTCATCTTAAGCAAGCCTTCGGAAAAACTGCAAAAACAAGCATGCGAGGCAGGGTTCTTACTCTTGGTATCCCCAAAAGGACAGCCAATATACACTCACCATGATTCCGAAGGGAAGATGCCTACACTCGCCGAAACCCTGATAAATCCCCCTAAGCCCTTAGTGGGGCTTGATCTTGACGTTATGGTCTCGCTTTGGGGACCTTGGTGATGGCATTATTCGTCTAGGATGCCAACAGGGCACACAAAATTCAGATCAAACCCCCCCCCCCCCCCCTATACCTTTTTTGGGCCACTTGTCATACGGTAGGAACCAAGAATTCTAGTAAAACACACACACACACACACACAAATATATATATATATATAATAAGTATAAGTATATATGTCTTATTTTTTGCATATATATATATATATGCATAGGTGTTTTGTAACAACATCGGAGCCCAGGATCAAGAAAACACCTGCAAAGGAAAGCCGCCTGCTCAAAAAGGGCCCAGGGGCACATGGAGCACCTTGGCCCTCTCTCAAGGCAATACTCCATTCCCTTTGCCCGGGCATACCACCTTGCTGGCCACCCTAAACCCTAAACCCTAAACCCTAAACCCTAAACCCTAAACCCTGGAAGGCTCCTCAAGGAGCAGGGGAGTCAGGCGTAGAGAGGCTTAGAAACACAGAGGGTATTGACTGTAGGGATGTTTTGGGTGGCGGGTTTTGGGTTTCGGGCCATTGGGGTCGAAGGCTTCCTCCCTGTCGGTCACCGAAACAGCCTAAGGCTGTGGCCCGGAAAAGCTGCTGTTAAGTCAGTCTGGTCGCTCTTCTACGTCGTAGTCGCAGTCCACGAAAGGAATACCCAGGGCCTCCGCGTAGCGAACATTCTCATTCTTGCGAATCTCGTACTCCTCACGACGCTCTACCCGGACCCTTTCGGGTAGCTCCTCTATTGCGGGGCCCCTGATTCTATGAAAAAGAATAGATACCCCCCCAGAAGGAAGTACAATCAAAGACTACTTCTACAGGAAGAGCCTACAGAAATGCAGGTTTGCGCATCTTAAGGTGGGGCAAGTGCCCCAAATGAGATTGCAACCCGTCATGAGCATCGCTGCCCTGCGTAGAACTGAAGGGCATTGGGTACGCTGCGAAAACGTTGAGAGGAATGCCTAGGGTGCAGTCACAATAAAGCCTAGGCCCTCAACCCTGAACCCCAAGACCCTAAACCCCAATCCCCGCACCCCACACCCTGAGCAGCGAAGCTTGCGTTGGGGATAAGGGTTTGGGATTCAGGGTCAAAGAAGCCACCCAAAACCCTAAACTCTTAAACCCTAAACCCTAAACCCTAAACCCCACCCGAATTGCCCCCCCCAAAGCCCCCTCTCTGGGTCTCCTTGCGGGGATGGATGTTCGGGTTGTAGAAAAACACCGTCACATCCAGGCCCTGGCTGTGCATCTCCTCAATCATGGCTCCTGTTGACCCTAAACCCTAAACCCTAAACCCTAAACCCTAAACCCTAAACCCTAAACCCTAAACCCTAAACCCTAAACCCTAAACCCTAAACCCTAAACCCTAAACCCTAAACCCTAAACCCTAAACCCTAAACCCTAAACCCTAACCTAAACCCTAAACCCTAAACCCTAAACCCTAAACCCTAAACCCTAAACCCTAAACCCTAAACCCTAAACCCTAAACCCTAAACCCTAAACCCTCCTGAAGATTCTTTAGACGCCCTGTCCTGAGCACGGTGCGCAGCACGAGTGCAGGAGCACCTTCTCTCCTGGCTTGGGCTGCCTGGCCTGGGAGGCTAGGGGTTTAGGAGTTTAAGGTTTAGGGTTTAGGGTTTAGGAGTTTAGGGTTTAGGGTTTTAGAGTTTAGGAGTTTAAGAGTTTAGGGGTGTAGGAGTTTGGGAGTTTAGGAGTTTAGGAGTTTAGGGTTTAGGGTTTACGAGTTTAGGGGTTTAGGGTTTAGGGGTTTGGGGTTTACGGTTTGAGGTTTCTGGGTTTAAGGTTTGAGGTTTACGGGTTTCAGGGTTGAGGGTTTAAGGTTCAGGGTTACGTATACCCTTCAATCATGGCATGAGGGGGGCGGGGGGGCATGCGACGCTCAATCTTAGGGTTCAGCGAGTCCCCATGGAAGTTCTTTAAGGTGTTAGGGTTTCAGGCTTGAGATTTAGGGTTTAGGGTTTAGGGGTTAAGGTTTAGGGTTTAGGGTTTAGGGTTTAGAGTTTAGGGTTTAGGGCTTGAGATTTTAGGGTCTAGGGTTTAGGATTGAGGGTTTGCAGGCTCTGACAGTCAGCGTTGAGGGGTTTGAGGTTTTAGGGCGTCACATTCTACGGGCACAACCCTGGAACTAAACCCTAAACCCTAAACCCTAAACCCTAAACCCCAAACCCTAAACCCTAAACCCTAAACCCTAAACCCTAAACCCCAAACCCTAAACCCTAAACCCTAAACCCTAAACCCTAAACCCCAAACCCCAAACCCTAAACCCTAAACCCTAAACCCTAACCCTAAACCCTAAACCCTAAGAGGCCTTCGGGGCCTTGCTCTGCTGGCGATCGCTCTTGGCCGCAGCGGCCGTCTCCTTCGACACGAAGAGGCAGGCGTCACCGTAGGACCTCACCAACTCAAGGCGCCTAAACCCTGAACCGTAGGGTTTAGGGTTTAGGGTTTAGGGTTCAAAGTTTAGGTTTAGGGTCCAGGGTTTAGGGTTTAGGGTTCACACCCTGAACCCTCAGACCCTCAAACCTCTGAACACCAGAGGGCTTAAGGCTCTAGGGCTTAGGGTTTAGGCCTATATCACAGCTCGCCATATATTGACCCTACAACTGCCCCAGAATTGCCCTATGATAGGCCTTATACTGCACCCTGTAAACCCTATGAACCCTTAACAACTTACGGCCCTTTGGCCCGCATGCCCTAAACCCTACGCCTTAAACCCTCATGCCCTAAACCCTAAACCCTCAAGCCCTACAGCCCTAAACCCTAAACCCCAAAGCCCGAAAGCCCGAAAGCCCTAAACCCTAAACCCTAAACCCCCTAAACCCTAAACCCATGCTCTAACCCTGGAGTCGAGAAACAGGAAGCGATACTTGTTGGCGATCGCGTGTGCGTACGCAGTGAGCAAGGTCGTCCGGGAGCGAAAGGCGGCCACCAGCAACAGCAGGGTGCTGTCCTTACAACACCAAACCCTAAGTAAGCCCTAAGCCCAAGCCCTAAGCCCTGAGCCCCTACACCTTCACGCTTAAAACCTTAAGCCCTTAAGCCCTTCAACCCTTAAACCCTTCAACCCTTAAAGCCTGAAGCCCTTTTAAACCCTTTAAGCTTCAACCTTAACCTCCCGGAAAGCCCAAAAGAGTCCTTTTTGATTCAGTCACATCCCTTGAATCATAGAAGGATCCCTGCTGAAGTTTGCTCCTGCTGAAGTTTAAGGATTCAGGGTTCAGGGCTTCGGGTTTTAAGGGTTAAGGGGTTTAGGGTTTTGAGGGATGATGGGTTTTCTGGGAGGCTTACAGTGTGAAGGTTGCTCAGCTTTTCACAAGGCACGCTTTGAACACGCCACAGGCACCAAGACAGCCCCACGGATCTCGAGTTCTCTCATTGCAGGAGTGTTGGGACTGCGGGTTTGGGGTTTTGGGCTCAGGGCTCGTTGTGTGTAAATGGAGATGGGGTATATTGGATCATCTAGCTCGGACTTTGCAGACTTTCGGACATGAAAGTCCGAAGACCCCTAGACCCTAGACCCTAAACCCTGAACCCCAAACCCTAAACCCTAAACCCTGAGCCCCCCTCCTCCCCCAACCCCAACCCACCAAGACCTGAGCTCAATGACATGTAAACCCTAAACCCTAAACTCTAAACCCTAAACCCTAAACCCTAAACCTTAAACCCTGAACCCTGAACCCTGAACCCCAAACCTCCTGCCCAGCATCCGGCTGGTGGAAGTTCGTCACCAGGTCTTGGACCACCTTGAAGCGGTAGCCGGGAACGATGCACAAGCTCGTTGAGCCGGACACCTCGAGAAGTCCCCACAGGGAGATGTTGGGAGTTGTAGCGTTTAGGGTTTAGGGTTTGGGGTTTGGGGTTTGGTGTTTGGGGTTTAGGGTTTAGGGTTTAGGGTTTAGGGTTTACGGCTTAGCGATTTGGATTATAGACCTTCGGATTCTATGAGGTGTATGAGTGAAATGAGGGTTCGGAGCTTAAAGGTTTTAGGTGTCAAGCTGCGGGGTTTAGGGTTTAGGCTTTCGGGTGTGGCAATTGAAGGTGCAAAGCTTACAACCCTTGCACCCCTAATCCTAAAAGTCCCCTCACAGGGGTACCACACGTCAAAAAGACTCCCTTCTAGAAACCCTAAAACCCTAAAACCCTAAAACCCTAAGACCCTAAGACCCTAAAACCCTAACACCCTAAAACCCTAAAACCCTAAAACCCTAAAACCCTAAAACCCTGAAACCCTAAAACCCTGAAACCCTAAAACCCTAAAACCCTGAAACCCTAAAACCCTAAAGCCCTAAAACCCTAAAACCCTACAACCCTGAAACCCTAAATCCCTAAAACCCTAAAACCCTAAAACCCTAAAACCCTAAAACCCTAAAACCCTAAAACCCTAAAACCCTAAAACCCTAAAACCCTACAACCCTGAAACCCTAAATCCCTAAAACCCTAAAACCCTAAAACCCTCAAACCCTAAAAAACCCTAAACCCTATAAACCCTAAACCCAGCCCTTGAACGTCTCTTCAGGACCGAGGGTCCTTCGTAAGTCCAGCCTCCCTGGCATCTTCGCCCAGACGCCGCAACACGGCCGCGGCCGGAAGGCAGCCGCCGTCCTTCTGCGTTTTGGGGTTTAGGGTTTAGGGTTTAGGGTTTAGGGTTTAGGGTTTCAGGTTTCAGGGTTTCAGGTTTCAGGGTTTAGAGCAGCCGCGCTCCTTCTGCTCCGGCTCTGCGCAGGGTTGAGGGTGTACAGGGTTTGTAAGGTTTACAAGGTTTACAAGGTTTATAAGGTTTGTAAGGTTTGTAAGGTTTACAAGGTTTGTAAGGTTTATAAGGTTTATATGGTTCGGAAGGTATGTAAGGTTTATAAGAATTATAAGGTTTATGCGGTTTGGGGGTGGGGTTAGGGCTTAGGGAGCTGAACTGTTTGTTTAAGGGGGGGGGGGGGGGGGGGGCTAAGGCAAAGCCTCATCAAATCCTAAACACTTTCGACCCTAAAGAAACTCCTGCAGCCTTAAACTCAACCCTAACACCCCGGCGGCCCCTAGCACCAAAAACCCAAAAAGCCCCACTTTATGGGTACTTACAACCCCAATCACAACTGGACTTATGAGCCCCCTAAGTCCTCAAAATAGGGTATAAGCAGACATATGACTGGGGTTCAAAGTACCTACGAACCTCCAAGCACACCCCAAACCCTAGAAGTTCAGCTACCCTAAACCCTAGACCCGAAGCCCTAAACAATAAACCCGAAGCGCTAAACCCTAAACCCTAAACCCTAAACCCCTAAACCCTAAACCCTAAACCCTAAACCCTAAACCCTAAACCCTAAACCCTAAACCCTAAACCTTAAACCCAAACCCTACTAGAACCTTAGGTCTTCCCAAGGTCCTTCTCCAGGCCGTAGGCCTCCCACTGCCCCAGGCGGAGGCCCGCGAGGTCACCGCGTCGGCGCGCAGCCAGCCAATACCTAGGGTTTAGGATTGAGGGTTTAGGCGTTAAAGGTTTTTAAAGGTTTTTACAGGGTTTTAAAGGTTTTTAAAGGTCTTTAAAGGTTTTTAAAGGTTTTTCAAGGTTTTTAAATAAAGGTTTTTAAAGGTTTTTAAGGGTTTAGGGTTTAGGGTTTAGGGTTTAGGGTCTAGGGTTTAGGTTTATTTAGGGTTTGGGGATTAGGGTCGAGTTTATTATAAGTACCCTTGCCCGAACAAACCCTACAAAACCCTACGAAACCCTCAAGCTTACAAACCCCAAACCCTTCGCACGAAACCCCAAATCCCAAAACCCAAGTCCTAAGCCGGAAGTCCTCTTTGGACTTCTTCTTGTCTCCAAGGTACAGGGACTCCAGCGTTCGGACCGTGGTGGTTCCCACCGCCACCACCTTATTTAGGAGCCTTTTAGGTGTTTGTAAAAGGGTTGGGCTAGAGAGGGTAGCTTAGGGTAGTTCAGGTTGGCTCAATTCAGGGTTCTGAAGCTAAACCCTAAACCCTAAACCCACAAAGCCTAGGGGCGGGCCGCTGCTCCTCCAAGCTTTTCGCGACAGCCTCGATGGCCGAGACCTCCATGGAGAAGGACTCGGCGTGCATCGCGTGCTCGGCGACCTGCTTCGCGGTCACCGGGCGGAAGGTCCCCGCGCCCACATGCAGCGTCACAGCCGAGTGGCCGATGTTCTGCGCCTGGAGAGTTTCCAGGAGGCCTTGGGTAAAGTGGAGCCCGGCGGTTGGCGCCGCGACGCTGCCACAGGCATCTTCCCGCGCGTAGACGGTCTGATAGTCCTGTGAGTCTTGAGCCCCGGCGTCTCGGCGCATGTAGGGCGGAAGCGGGATGTGCCCGAACCTGGCGAAGGCCTCTCCGGCCTTGAGGCCCGGCTCTCCAGACATGCGCAGGACCACCTCCACCCCTTCGGCCTCCCCTTCCTCGATCCACTTCGAGGAGAGCTGGAGAACCTCCAAGGTCAAGCCTGAGTCGTTTGGGGCCGGCGGGGCCACTGTGAAGATTGCCCCGGCCTCGCGCAGGGGCAGCCGGATCATGGCGTCCCAGAGCTGCTTCTGGCAGGGCTCCTCCAGCGCCTCGGCCGCGTTGCCTGCGGGGGCCTGGCCGTGCGGGGAGAGGAACATGACCTCCACCGGCTCGGGGTGCGCGGGCGTCCGCGCAAACATGCGAGCAGCCAGGACCTTGGACTCGTTGAAGACCAGGTGTGCGCCACGGGGCAAGAGGCTCGGGAGGT